TTTCCTTACCAGCTGAAGTTTTGCTGGGGAAAAAAAAGATTTCCAGCTAATCCTGAGGATTATGGCTAAATTGCTTTATTTATTATACAGTTCTATGCACAGGGGAATACCACAAACTACTCGGCAATCACCGATTCTGATTGGGTGTCTATATCATATGTCACTTAGGGATTTAAACTTAAGATCGAATTCCAAAATGGTAACCTCCATACAATAAAATTGTTAAATCTGGCTAAACCTACTAAAGCTTGGTAAGGTAAATATAATATTAATCTGTCTGCAACATAGATTTACATTTTATTTATTTTTGGAAAACTTTTGTCAGGTGACAGTTCCACTTAAAGGCTTGCTTGATGACACTCTGGATGTAGTCTGTGACTTTTGGGATGGACATACGTATCTATATTAATAGATGTGACACAGAATTTTTTTTTTAAAAAGCCACGAAACAGGAAATATAAAAAATTCCGGCATGCTACATTTAGCTGTAAGACATTACCTGTGCCCTACTCATTAATGGTTACATGAAATATATAAAACCAACCCTTGATTTGATTTTTATTCTTCAGAGTAATGGCCTGCCACTTTGAAAGAGTATGACTACTAAGGAATGGGTTACTGACATATTCCTAATTGCATGTATAATGTTATATTATGCCTGTGTCATTTTAAGGCAGTCAGTAATAACTACGGCCTGGGATCTATTAGCAGAAATATTAATTCTGCTTACTGAATAGTAATTACACTACTGAAGCCTATGGAGAAATTAATTTAGAAAACTCTCACTCTACTAAGAGAATTCAGCTTTGACCAATCTAATTTGAATATATTGGCCTAAACGTTGACATTCACTCTGAACTAATATTAATTTCCCAGCAGGTCTCACTTTAGTAAATATCTCTGAAAGTGTACCATTTAAATATCTGGAAAAGGTAGTCTGTCTCTGTTATACAATCTTCTTTCAAATTTCAGGGAGGGTCCGAGCAAATCCTCATGTAGATTAGTTCTGGGGATGTAAGTTTAAGACAAGCTCTAAACTATTACACTATTAAACTGACCAATGTCCTTTGGGCATCAACAGTGATCTGTGCATTAACTTAAATGTTAAACTGTTAAATGACACCTTAATGTCACAATTGGTAGAAGCACCAACTAGAAAGGATGTTTGTCTGGATTGGGTTATACCAAACAATGTTGATCTTTTGTCAAACATTCAAGCAAGGAAGTACTTGAGAAATATTGATCACAATATGGAGTCTTTGAAATAAACTCAAAAAGGCAAATGCACATGGGGTATACCAATGCATATAATTTTAATAAGGTCTATTTTAATTAAATAAGAGCAGCTTTACTACATATTGAGTGGTATAAACTCTCTAGTGAGATATTCAGTAGAGAGTTTATACTAGAGATTATATTCATTCCTAACAAATATTAGCAATGAATATATCTTAATATAATAAGTGATAATTAATTTTTAAAAAACAAACTGAAACCAATATGGTTAGTGTGAAGGTAAGCCAAGAAATTAAAAAATAAGAAGATGGCATTTAAAGCATTTAAATCAGTGGCATCATATATAAGTCAGAAGGAAGCAAATAATGCCTGTAAAAAGGTGATTAGATGGGCTAAACTGGAAAATTAGAAAGTGGTAAAGAAAAAATAATCCCAAAAAAGGTTTTTAAAGTACATACATTCAAAAAACAATTAATTAAATAAATAAATACATAAAGTTTAGGCACGCTGAAACCAGAGATGAGTGTGTTAGTAAATAAAGTTCTGGAAAAGGCAGAAATATTATGGAGGGAATTTAAGGCAAGAGATATGCAAATGACTGCAGCAAAAAAACATTCTGAAAAATTGTTATTGGAGGACTCAAGATAATGTGCTGCAGCTACTAAAGAAAGTTCATTTAAACAAAGTCCCAGTCCCAGATGGTACTCATCCATGGGTACTAAGCTGAGTGTGGAAATAAATGAACCTCTGTTTTTAATCTATCAGAATCCTTAAAGATAGATTACACAGAGTTGTCATTAGTGGTACATTTTCAAGCTGGACATAAGTGGTAAGAAGTGTCTCTGAGGGCTCCATTCTGGGGACACTTCTGTTCAGTATATTTATTTATTTTTAAAAAGTGAAATAGGCATTGGAAGTCATGTGTCAGTGTTTTCAGATAACACAAAAATTAGTAAGGTAATGTAATATAATGTGAGCAGGATATATCTACGTGGCAGAGAGATTTCAGTAGATTAGTGGACTGGGAGCTCAAATTGCAGATGAAATTTAATATAGATAAATGCAAAAATATGCACGTTGGTGTGAAGAATGCTCAAACAACTTATATCCTAAATGGCTAATTAATGATAACAACACAAGAGAAGGATTTGGTAATTGTTACAGACAGCAAATAATGTGCAATGTCAAGCAGCAGTTGCTAAGGCTAGTAAGGTATTGTTATGCATAAGCATTCATTATTGCGATGAAAATATAATTTTGCCTCTTTTAAATCAATGGTAAAACCACACTTTGAATATGCCCTGAAATGTTGGGCCTATCTCTAAAAAAATAATATTATTGCACTACAAAAATGTGCAGAGGCAGTCTTCAAAATTAATAAGGGGAATGGAAGATTTTAGTTATGAAGAAAGGCTAACATATTTAAATCTGCGTAGTTTAGAAAAATGGTGCCTTAGAGAAGATATGATAGCATTACACCAATATATTTAGGGCCAGTACAAACTATTAAATTATTCGGAAATCTATTCATGAACAGGACTATATAGGACATAAGGTCACCCATTTAGATTGGAAGAAAAAAGATTTAGTTCATAGCAAAGGAAAGGATTCTTTGCAGTTAGAACAATAATTATCTGCCTGAAGAGGTGGTCTGTAGAGATGTTTAAACAGCAACTAAAATAATTCTTGCAAAAACATGATATTCAAGAATATTTTTAATATATAGGGATATAAAATACATGCTTCTAGATCAAAGAAGAGATCTGACTGCCATTCTGGGAGTCGAAAAGGGTTTTTTCCCCTGGTTTGTTGCAAATTTAGAAAGCGCTTCAAACTGGATTTTTTGCCTTCTTTTGATCAACAGCAAAAACAGATGTGAGAAAGGCTGATGTACCTATTAGTGAGTGTGATGTTGAGTGTTTTACCATTTAGAATATATATAAATTTTCTCTTGCATTCAAATATGTCCTTGATGGAGATTTTTTTTACACAAAAAGTGGTGCTCACTGTTACAACACTAGAAAAATTAAAGGTTGAGTTACCTCGACCAGGGATTTAACCCTGTGGTATGAAAAAACTTAAAGGGACACTATAGTCACCAAAACAACTACAGCTTATTGTATTTTTTTCTGGTGAGTATAAGCATTCTCTTCAGGCATTTTGCAGTAAACACTGTATTTTTTAGAGAAAAGACGGTGTTTACATTACAGCATAGGGATACCTCCACTGGCCCCTCCTCATATGGGTGCAGGAGGTGCAGTCAAAGTGACTAAAGGCCAGGACATCACATTTTACTCTTGCTCCTTATTACACATTACAGCTTACTTACCAGACATCGCATTGCAGGCTGGTAAGGGCACGACAGAACACATTACTACCAGAATTGTATGCAAGCTATTACAGTAACAAGCAGAAAATAAGAAGGAATTTCGGGATTCCTAAACCAGTTGCACAAACATATAGCTCTATTGTTGGCCTACTGCAAGCCAGCTGTAATCTCAGGTAACCTCTGCCTTAGTTTTAACAGTATGCACACAGATAATCCAATGGAAAGAAACAAAAACAAGACAAAACATGAAAATCTTTCACTAGCCTGTGGCACCACCAGATAATTTGTATCAAGACAATATAACAGACAGAAGTGACACATGCAATGTATTTTCTAATCTAAATTGATCTAAGTGACATTCTATCCAAATAACAAAAATGGTCCACCTATGGTCCATATCATTGAAGTAAAACAATATTTTTCATTGTAACTGTGTACTAGGCATGGCTTCATCCATCGTTTGCTTTCTTCATTCTAAATAAATAGTTATGTGCTGAATTTTGAGTGCAATTAATTAATATTGTCGGGGGACTGGGAGAGGGTGGGGGCAACTGCCATGGTGGAAAGACATGTTTCAGAAGAGCTCCTCTCCTATACTGGATATTAATGCAATTCTTTGCCCTACTAAGTGAGATTTTGAATGTTCTTTTTTCAACGACTACTAGGAGACCTGTAACATCTGAATCTCCCACAAGAATTATATATAAGGGGTAAACATATGTAAGTAAGTTCTTGTGTTTCTTTCTATTTTATTTTATGGACTGTTTTGCAATTTGTTATCTGTGTTTCTGTATGCCATTTATTTCTGTATTTTTGTACACAGCACTGTGAATCCTTTTTGTCAGATTAAATGTTTACTTAATCAGCTTGTGTCTTTGTTCTCTATGAGCTCACTCTCCTGAGGAAAGCTCAGGTAAACATGTTACCAAAGGGTTAATTATATATGTCTGATCAGTAAAGTATGGTTGTGATCCTATAATTCTACTGTGTGTGGGGTAACCTAAGATGCCCGGATTTAAAGTCTTGGTGGTGGCAGTAAAGTGTGTACTAAGATGCTCGTGTAGAAGGTATTGCAGGGGTTAATATAGTGGTTGTTGGGACTAGCAACAGGTAACCAGGGGTAACCAGGGGCCAATAGTCCACGCTTGTGACAGGGGGTGATCCCGGTCCATCCCCAGGAGGCTGCCTTAACCTGGTGGAAACTTGTGGTGAAACCAGGAAGGCGCACAAAAAAAAAGCGACTCACCTAAGATACTACAGAGGAAACACTCAACATCCTGTCCAGGCTACACCACACTTTTAATGATTTCTGGCGCAAGTTGGAAAGCAAGCTGCAACAACCGGTACCAACGCAGGCGAGTGGTCGCTCACCTCACAGGCAAAGCCTTACACCGCATCAGAAGCTGGCTACACCAGCAGTGAGAGGACCCCCGACATGGCGGCAAATTGCGAAGTGTTCCCTACTCCTGCACACAGGGGCACCCAAACAGGAACTGTCGAGATCCGGCACTGGGACTCTCAACCTGTCGGGGAATCTTGTGGAAGCCCAACTCATGAGGAATATCTCCCTGACAGTGCCTTCCAGGTCACAACTGGGCATTACCTTGCGGCTCATGCAGCCTCTGCCTGGGCCCACATGTCTGATCAGCGTACATCCACCACGACGCATATTGCTCTTACCGGACACTGGGATCGGCTGAATTAAGCTCCAGTCTCATGATCCATGCGGTCCTCTAGTATTATGCTAGTGGACTCCATCTGGTTATACTTAGATGAAAGGCAAATCGTTTTCCATATTTTTCTTTCTTTTAATGTGAATATAGCAGTTATACAGATTTCCTTTTCTCTATTTTGTCACCGTGTGGTTTATGCTGAGCAGTATAGTAAAGTAAGGCAGCCCAAAGCTTCGGTGGCCACCATAATCTATAGGCACCCTGACTGCATGTGAGTCACCCTTAACAGCTATGCAGTGTCTACTAATAACCAAATTTCAACTTGCCTAGTAATTGTCTTGTTTCAATACTCTTGGATCCCTAGACATGTTTCCCTAATGCTATTACAACCTCTTATTATTACCCTAACCTATACAATGTGCAGATGTAGCAACATTTTTAAATATATACACACCATGTGTATTGCTACATATATCTCATTCTACTATAATTAAAAGTGTGCAACTCATGTTTTACTCTGCTCCAGTCTCTTCTTCAGCTTTGAGAAGTTGCTTATTCAGCATGTTATTAAGTTATCTTAAACAAACAAACAAACAAAAAAATTTGCACAGTATTTACCTGCCATGCCTATGTACCACTATGTCTGACTATTTCTGTCTGTTGATGCTGGTGTTGCACCACAAACTTGCTTGTAACCAACTGCACTGCAAAAATAAAAAATTCAAAAAATAAATAAAAAGTTAATTAATATTGTGCCTTTTTGGTACCTAATGTTTTAAGCAAGCTTACAGTTTAATAACAGACTTTAATAATACGGTTTTGACAATGTTGTCTTTTGATATGACTTAGGTTTTAAAGTCTTTTTTTTATCTTAAAATCATATTTAGAGCACATTAAATTGGTTTATAGAAATTAAACCAATACCTTCTCATTATCAAGATGTTGGGTTTCATACAGTCGCTCACATTATAGCACACTAGGGAAGCAGATCTTTTAGCACAAAGCCGTGGAATGAGATGAAAAATACTTCAGCATGTTTTAGAATCTTCTGGGCTTTTATATAAAGAATCCTGAAGACTATTTTATTCCATTGGCAAAAAGTAAAATGTATAGTTTTGGGCAATGCTTTTAAAGAAGGATATAATTAAATGGGCTACAGAATTTATAAGAGGAAGATTTGCCTTGAAGGCCAGTGATAGAGTGAGAGTGTCATCTGATGATCTCAGCTTATCACCGGCCGCTCATTGGTGTTACTATTATTTGCAATCAGAGATAGAATTACTTGCAAGAGGTAACAAGAGGCAGAGCTGTTAGGCACCAGGGGTCCAAATCCAGGATAAAACTGTTCAAAACTGATTTAACCCCTGATGGTAAGATCATCCATAGACCTTGGCCCCCATAGCAACTAAACTGAGATGAAGAGGAAAGACTAACAGGAGTGCATTTGTTTACATATGAAAAAGGGCTTTTCAATGGGAATATGTATAGTGTAAAAAGTACAGTAAGGCTAAACTTAACACTACTTTACAAAAAATATAAAAAGGAACAATCTGACCACTGTAACAATTTCATCTCTGAAGTTGATATAGTGCCTGGACATTCTGGTTGCCATCTTACTTTAAAGAATTAAACTATTTTTGAACAGATTAACCCAGAAGTGGTCCAGAAGATGCGTGTCTGCTTGGCCCCTTTTTAAGCTGACCACCACACACTGCTAACTGGCCTAAGAATACGTTCCAACATAAGACCAAGACCGAGACCAAGATGGGGATTGTACCGTCCAAGCGCATATAAATGGAGCTGATTTCATGTGCCAGAAGACTGTAAGTACATTTCCTTTCTTTTATTCATTATCAAGAGCACCAAAAATACTTCACCATATTTCATTTTATTTCTTCTCTTATTTTTCATATCTTTCCATCCCTGATTGACTTAATGATACATGTGAAGGCGCTGCTTCGTTACATTCGCTTTCTTTTAGGGAAGAAGTTGCCCAGGACCTCCATGCACCAAAATAACGTCATTACAATAAGGTTGTTATGGTGCCTAGTGTGTTCCTTTGAAGAAGGATTTTTTCCTTGTTTGTGACACAGCTGCTTAAAATTATTATTTCGCCTTATTTTTTTTATCAGAAGCAGAAACATATGTGTTATGGGCTGAATGTGAACTTTTTTTTAACCTATATCACAATGTAACTATGTAAAAATATCTTAACCAACTAATAAGAAAATAAGATACACATTACAGGGTGCTGTTAAATAGTGACAGAGAAATATTGATTTAAAAAAAAAAAAAACAGTTGTATTTATTTTAAAGCATGTATATTTTTTAATAAAACCCCAAAACAATGCAAGATACACATATTTTTGTATATTATCACTAATCTGTAGACAGTCTGCACAAAGCCCTGACCTCAACTTCACTGGAAACCTTTGGGATGAAATGGATCGTGGATTGTGAGCCAGACCTTCTCATCTAACATCAGTGCCTGAACTCACACAAGCTCTTTTGGCTGAATGTGCACAAATCCCCACACACATAATTAAACATCTTGTGGAAAGCCATCCCAGAAAAGAAGCTGCAGTTTTAGCATCAAAAGGGAGACTGCCTCCATAATAATGTTCACAGTTTTTAAATGAGATGTCCAACGAGCTCATACAGGTGTGATGATCAGGGGTCCACATACTTTTGACCATAGAGTGTATAGATATTTTTTACACACATTTGTTTTATTACGTTTTAGCGATATAATTCCAATAGTGCGAAAGTAAACAAAATGCAGTATGTAAACCATATAGTATGTTGAAATAGGAAAATGTTAAATACTAAAGAAAAACAAATTAATGGTACAGGGAGTGCAGAATTATTAGGCAAATGAGTATTTTGACCACATCATCCTCTTTATGCATGTTGTCTTACTCCAAGCTGTATAGGCTCGAAAGCCTACTACCAATTAAGCATATTAGGTGATGTGCATCTCTGTAATGAGAAGGGGTGTGGTCTAATGACATCAACACCCTATATCAGGTGTGCATAATTATTAGGCAACTTCCTTTCCTTTGGCAAAATGGGTCAAAAGAAGGACTTGACAGGCTCAGAAAAGTCAAAAATAGTGAGATATCTTGCAGAGGGATGCAGCACTCTTAAAATTGCAAAGCTTCTGAAGCGTGATCATCGAACAATCAAGCATTTCATTCAAAATAGTCAACAGGGTCGCAAGAAGTGTGTGGAAAAACCAAGGCGCAAAATAACTGCCCATGAACTGAGAAAAGTCAAGCGTGCAGCTGCCACGATGCCACTTGCCACCAGGTTGGCCATATTTCAGAGCTGCAACATCACTGGAGTGCCCAAAAGCACAAGGTGTGCAATACTCAGAGACATGGCCAAGGTAAGAAAGGCTGAAAGACGACCACCACTGAACAAGACACACAAGCTGAAACGTCAAGACTGGGCCAAGAAATATCTCAAGACTGATTTTTCTAAGGTTTTATGGACTGATGAAATGAGAGTGAGTCTTGATGGGCCAGATGGATGGGCCCGTGGCTGGATTGGTAAAGGGCAGAGAGCTCCAGTCCGACTCAGACGCCAGCAAGGTGGAGGTGGAGTACTGGTTTGGGCTGGTATCATCAAAGATGAGCTTGTGGGGCCTTTTCGGGTTGAGGATGGAGTCAAGCTCAACTCCCAGTCCTACTGCCAGTTCCTGGAAGACACCTTCTTCAAGCAGTGGTACAGGAAGAAGTCTGCATCCTTCAAGAAAAACATGATTTTCATGCAGGACAATGCTCCATCACACGCGTCCAAGTACTCCACAGCGTGGCTGGCAAGAAAGGGTATAAAAGAAGAAAATCTAATGACATGGCCTCCTTGTTCACCTGATCTGAACCCCATTGAGAACCTGTGGTCCATCATCAAATGTGAGATTTACAAGGAGGGAAAACAGTACACCTCTCTGAACAGTGTCTGGGAGGCTGTGGTTGCTGCTGCACGCAATGTTGATGGTGAACAGATCAAAACACTGACAGAATCCATGGATGGCAGGCTTTTGAGTGTCCTTGCAAAGAAAGGTGGCTATATTGGTCACTGATTTGTTTTTGTTTTGTTTTTGAATGTCAGAAATGTATATTTGTGAATGTTGAGATGTTATATTGGTTTCACTGGTAATAATAAATAATTGAAATGGGTATATATTTGTTTTTTGTTAAGTTGCCTAATAATTATGCACAGTAATAGTCACCTGCACACACAGATATCCCCCTAACATAGCTAAAACTAAAACAAAACTAAAAACTACTTCCAAAAATATTCAGCTTTGATATTAATGAGTTTTTTGGGTTCATTGAGAACATGGTTGTTGTTCAATAATAAAATTAATCCTCAAAAATACAACTTGCCTAATAATTCTGCACTCCCTGTATATAGCAGTCATTCCTCTATCTCTCGTAGTAATATATCCATCAAATGTCATAGACATAAGTCTCACATAAAATTAGGTGAGGGCAATATATTCAGAGTAGGTGTATAGATATTTATAGATATTTTAGCAAAAAATTGAAAGATGTGAAAAGTTAAACTGCCACATTAGCAATATTTGATTACTGGAATAGATTACCCCGCTCATGTGTTATCGAGATTGCATTTCCACCTCTAATAAGCTTTTTGGATTCTAATATATATATTTTTCTCCAAATATTTCTCTCTCACTTCTCTTCTCTTTGTAAATCCACATACACATACGGAAATGTGAATCTGTGTATGTATCTGTGTAACTGCGTATGTCTGGCAGCGAGTGTGCCTGTGATGATATATTTGTGTACATTTCTTGGAGTGTGTTGCGAGTGGCCCTGTAACTTCTAATGGCAGTCATGAACTGCAGAACCCTGAAAACCTTTTTTCTTTTGTTTGAATGAGGAGAAAATATACAGTATGAACACGAGGAAAGCACCCAAAACTTAATTTGTACTTAAGCTGTATTGGTACCCGGAGCGTGCCTGCAATGTCCCTTTAAATACCACATGATTTACTGGACACAATA